TTTATGAGGTATCACTGAGAAACCTGATAACCCTTCAAGGCTTATTTGTGTTTGAATGGAAAGGTGCCATATTTAATTGTCGTGAAACTGCTGCAGACTGAAACATCTAAATAGTAAAATAATTACCTATCAAAAGCAAGGAGAGGACAAGGGTTCCTCTTTGTGGAGATAAATGTCTGTTCCTTTCTGGGTTGTTTTCCTGACTCTGTATCTTAAAGATTTTCAAATAACAGTTTTACATTAGACATGTTTTAGGAGAACTTCACAATCTTTGCCTTATTTTCTCCTAGATGATGTTACTGGATTGTTGTTTCATTAGATGTTTGGAATTGTGTCATTTCTGAAAGACAAGACCAAACCTCTGCTCACAAGGGTTAAAAACTGGAGAGGGGTATATGTATGTGTGTGTGTGTGTGTGTATGTGAGTGTGTGTTTACCATTAACCGTCCATGTAAACAACTTCCTAAGTTATTAGTGACAAAAAGTATCATTATGGATTTGGCTTATTTTCATGCCAAGAACTTGATACATTTTGTCTTAACAGAAATTAAGAAACTCTGGGCGTGGTGGCGTGTTTTATTGTTGCAGTAGGACCTAAGGAGGTTAAATGGTTCAATATAATATAGGTTTAATATAATAAATATATATATAGTAAATGTATGTTAAATAAGGTTTAATATTTATAATACAATACCTAAGTGCAAAAATTACTCAAAGTTCCTGCTAAGTGTTCTTGTGTGTCACCGATGACTCAAGAAACCAGTTGGTTTTAAGCGCAGGCCTTGCTGCTGAAGGAGAATTCACAGAGAAAAAAATCCTTAACTCAATAAGGGTGTTTCAGGCTTCTTTTAGTAGTCATGAAGTGAAACAGGTAATGCCATGAGAACAAAAGAAAACTGGGGAACATCTGATTGCACAAAGTGAGCAAGAAGGTTTGTAAACAGCACCGCCCATGAAATCTTGTTTTAGAAGTCTAGTTTTCTTGCTTGACTTCCACTGAGGTTATGTTACTCAGCAGAATTTTGAAACTCTTCTTTCTCCTCTTAAAAATATATTAATCATGTTATGCAAGCTGACATATCCACAGAATCATATGAAGAAGTAAAATAATAATAATAAAAAAAACCCTCTTAGGATCAAATTCATTAGCATTCGCATTTTGGTCTTTCTTTTACTTGGCTGCCTGTGTGTGTTTTAAGACCTCTATTTCCCTTGTCTCCCTGACAAATTTTACCAAAATAGATCAGTATTTCCAGCAGTTTTTTTGTATAGACATATAGCAAACGGAATTGTTCTGCAAGACTAGCTACAGGAGACAGGACTAAAAATACAATGTCTGTCAGAAATTACATAATAAAAAGTTATGTTGGTGGCTGCTTATGAAGAATTTAAATTTCTAATTTTTTTATGCCTTTGTAGTCGTGTGTATGCTTTCAGAATATCTCCTAGTCTTGCTGGAGAAAGAGTCCAGTATACAAGCCCATAAAGATAAAGTCAGTATCATATTTTCTTACTACTGATCAATAAGGTAGTAGGAGAGTAAGAAAGGCAACTGAAAGCTGCAGGATAAAGAGTTAGGAAGAAATATCACTTAAGTTTCATTTAGGGCTTCATTTAGGGTAGAATTACTCTGCAATTTTAAAGTACCTAGCATATCAGATGTCCCCCAGAAAACTAAAATCAAAGAAATTGGAATTGTGAATAAGTTTCTCATGCAGAAAAAAGTTAATATGGATGAAGGAGGAACACAACTATAATCTATCTAGACAAAAAGATATAGGAGCGGCTTCTCAAAAAAGGGCCTTTTCCTCTTCCTTGCCAAAACATGGGCTTATGTTTCTGATTTCAGAATACTAGATAAGTAAGGCTAACCAAAGGTTGTCTGTGTTTGTACCCAGTATAAAATACTTGAGCATTTTGAGGTATGCTACAGAATATTTTAAAATTGAATTTACACTGTATTTATAAGACAAGTAGCAAATACAGAGGGGTCAGCTCTTCAAAGCTCTGTGTGAAAACTCATCTCCACATTCATTTTCATATTACAATAACATATGAAAGTAATGGATACATATTTCTTGATACACCAATAGATCCTGGATTATATTCAGTGAAGACCTCAAACTTTTTTTTTTTTTTTTTCTCAAGTATTAGCCAAATAAACTGTAACTGTAAGAGTTACATTTTTTAATCAAACAGCACAGGTAGAAATCTAATGTCTTTGGCAGAAGGAAACTTGAATATCCTTCAGGTCCTTCTGGTGTCCATATATCCATGTTATAGTTTCTGTATTGCTCATATTGTCCAGCATTAGGTCTCAGTCATTTTTGATCATCCATTATCTACCTTTCTGTGGATTTACAGTACTGGTACCCATCAATCCTAATATTAAACCCTGATTGGTGAATGGCAGGTAACCATGAAAAATACAAAAAAAATTGGCTTAATTTCAATTTTATTTGCACTTGCAAAAAATACAACCCAAGAAGCGTATAAATAACTGCCTCAGTGGAAATCGGCTGTGACTTGGAGTTGTTTTGAGATTTGTACTTAATATGCATGGGACTGATTTCCTTATATTTCACATGTGTGAATGGGCAATTTTATCTTTCAGACTATTTCTAGGATGGTTGCATTTTTACTTACTCTTTTCAAGGAGGCTTTTTTTGCTTGGACAATACTTTGACAGTAAATGCTATTAAAATTTCCCTTTTTGAAACTTAATTCAAAGAGAACCCTTTCACGTCTCCTGTAGCTAAAGCCGTCACCGCAAACTCCGGGTTTTATCCACATACCTAATCTGGCAGCAAGTAGTCAACTTTTCAAGTGTTTGCATACAACTTAATACTGTCTACTTCTGGAGTCTGGAGCTCAGTTTAATTCCACGAAGGGGTAGCAGACCTGTTTTGAATTGCCGCTAGTCTCCTTCCGAGTTTTAAAGAGGATGTAATCCCCTCTTTTTTTCAGAACAGGAAGCATCTAACACATCACAAAACAGAAAGTCCAAATTACATATTTTTAGTATCACAGATACTAAATACTGAATATTTGAGACTAGAACTGATTTAAATTTATTTTTGATTGTTAAGTTTTTTAGTGTTGCACTACTTGTTTTTAAACGTGATTGACTTGTATTGATTAGCAGGAAGCTCTCAGTTCTTGGATAAGACTCAACTCACAAAGAAAGGAGATGCACACTTGAAACAAGAAGGTCTGATTAGAATGCACGACTCAGTGGCTCTCTCTGAACCCATGAAAATATCATCTATCCCAGATGTTCCACAAACACCTCATCAAATACTTGGAAAAGAAAACTCAACTGGTAAGCCAAATATTTCTTGAGAAACCTGATTATTCATTTATATTAATCTATGTCCTGACATTTATAGTTATTAATTATCTAGAGAGTTTTGTTTTTATCTTTTCCCCTCACGTTATTTCCTATGCAGTGATTGTATTTCTGTATTCCATGGAATTAGGGCTGCTAGATACATGACATGAGAAATGAAAGCTCTTTTTATGCATACATAGAAGTCAGCAAGGCCTGTATTTCACACAGAGGTCCACCCTGAAGTATTGACTGTCTCATAGTAGTGTCAACTGCCTCAGTATTCATTTTGATCTCCTGCTATAATTCAAGAATCTAATGGTTTTGCTTTTCCTTTTTAGTTCCAGTGTATGTTTCTCTTAGTAAAGGCTTAATTCTTAAATGCTTGACTGAAAAGCTGTTAAAGCAAGGAATAAACGATCCAGAGTATCAATGGGTTGGTCCCATTGGCTTGATAACTAAAGGTAATTATATTTTAAATATCTAACGCTAATTTAATGCATTCTGATTTACTCTTTGGTTTATACACACTTTTGTGCTACCATTTGCAAAAATAGAAGCAGTTTATAAAATGTCTTGTATTTGCAAGACAGCAGAAGTGGATTGTAATGAAAAATAATAAATTCAGAAGAGAAACAGAAGGCTGTAGATACCATTAAAATTATATAGCTTTAAAATTCTAATGCTGAAATTATGACTTAAAATCATTTTTTGGAGAATTGTGTTTTTATATATCAAAAGGAAACGCATGCTCATTTGAATGGCTTGACATGATGCCATGCCAGCAACAAGGACTTCAGATTTTACATATAAACTTGTTAAAAAAGGGTAGAACTTTTGTGATTACTTCTCCCTGAATTGGACTGTGTTTAGCTAGAAGGAAGTTAAGGATTTGAAGTCGGTTCCCTGTATTAATGTAATGCTTATGGTTGTAAGACTTCTGAGAGAAGATCAGTGTCAATTTGATTCGGAAGAAAAAAAGTAGATAATAGAAGATGTTTTCAAAGTTATGTTAACTTTATGTACTTTATGTTATGAGAGAGATCAGAGCGGAAATGACGCAAAGGAACCAAAGGAAGAAAACCAGAGAAAAGAAAGAAGGGGAAAAAAAAACATAAACTATAGAAATAATATGTGCCCTGCAAAGCTTTGCATTTTCTGTCTCAGCAAAGACTGCTAAGTATAACATTTCAAATTTAGTGAGGAAAGATTTATGATTTGTCATGATGCTAGGTATCTAACGAAGCAGGAGGCATGTCCTCAAAATATATGGGTCCATCCTCCTCCTATGCCCCAAAATGAGCAGTTATCAGGTTTTGTTTGTTTTTCTCTTTCAGCCCCTTCCAACAGTTTGGAAACTGACAGTAGATCAGAAAATGAGACTGGATCACATTTTTTTCCCTTAGGCAGCTAAACCCTACTTCTGTGCCGTTTTAAGGAATTAAATTTATTTAATTAAATTTTAGGGAATTAAATTAATGCTGGCCACCTTCATTACGTGCACACTCACACGAAGAGAGAAACAAATCAATTCAGTGCTTTGGAAACTCATAGAACAAACATTATGTTCTTAAACATTTAGTTTGTAAGAGTTTATTAACAAAAAATGTTACTTTGTTGTGTTATTTATTTTATAGCATCTCAAATATCTATTTCTAGACTCAGGAAGACTTGTTTTAACAGCAGACTACCTGGAGTTCTATAACGTTCAAGCAAGTGATACTGGAAGCTATACCTGTAAAGTTACCTATGTACACAATGGTAAACATGAGATGACACAAGTGCATTTTATGATCTATGGCAAGTGAAGTTTAATTGTGCTGCTTTTTGACTTATTCTAGTATTATTATTTTCAGTACTTACCTCAGGATTGTTTGATAATAGCGTATTGGAAAGAAATCCTTATACATAACTACTGTATACATGTATACTTTAAAAAACTTCCTAGGAAAATATAATGAAATTATATATAGATATTATGTTTGCTGCTTGTACAGTTCCTTGGTTATGTTACTTAGAACAAAACATTTTTATGAGTATAGCTCATTCTGTCCAGTAAAAAATCAAATGATTATGAAGGCTAAAGTCACAAAGGACTATAGTTGCCCAATTGTCCTTTAAATGCTTATGTATAGCACTAAGTTCTTCAAAATTCCAGTTAAAATTCCCTTTCTAGATACAGTTTTGAAAATAATACATACAAAGTTGTCATATATTTGATGTTAGAGGTACAGGCTGTTTTCAGCTGCTAAGTTCACAAGTTAAAGGTGTTTATATATTCAGAGCACATGCACCTTTTTCCCCCCTGAGGTCCTTCATGTCATGTGTGCTTCCTAAAAAGCATTCAAAAGTGACATGCCCGGCCATCTACTACAGAATCACACTCTTCAGACAATTCTGGATACTTCATGAAGGGCATTTACAGGAAAAGGTAAACTTATTTCAAACAAGAGCGCCTAATCAAGCCTATGCAGACTTGATCTTGAGAACAAAATGAAACAAGAGTTTGAACTGGAAGATGCATAAAAATAGCTAGCTTTTAAAAGAATTAGAAAAAAAAAGTCCCTTCCAAACTAAGAGCGGGTCAAGTAGTAATGAAAATGATGCTGTGGTGCCACCTACAGGATATCTGAGGGGTATACAGCCTTGGCTGCTCTTTTTAATCTATCCTTTGTTTTTAATATGAGGTAGGGTTGAAGTTCTGTTTTAAAACCACAGGATCATGATCTGCTCCTCAGCTTATCAAATACATCTTTCCAAGACTGTACTTTTGAATTAATTGCAAGAAAGTTATATTCCTTTTAGGAATTTTAGTTTACTGGCTCTAGCAAATACAGCTCTGGGCCAAAAAGATGCTATGATTTGTGGACTACTCTTAGTTACAGCCCATAGGACTTGAAAGTATTAAGCATTTTATAGGACTGTTATCACATACAAGATATTATGGTAAAATTCTGTGAATAGCCGCATTTTAAAAGTGCAAAGTAAGAGAGGAGACTAGCAAATAGGTTAGCATATATAGCATTTATTTCTCTAGCTGCTCAAAGCTGTAAAATGTATCCATGGAAAACTTTGACATATTAAAATTAACTAATATTATTAAGATATATTAAAATAATATTTTAAAGTTTATTGCAGAATGCACTAAAACTTTATTAAGGATGCATGCGCTAAGAATAAATGTTTCCACTGTGGTCTGGTAGGAAACACCTGCTCTGCTGCACAACATTACTGGCTGCAAGAATCTGCTTTTTAGAATTCGAAAGTATTAAGCATTTTTAAAGGACATCCAAGGTATAACCTTACATCATCAAAGCAAGAAAGATCACAGTAATAATAACACTGAGGCTTCACACAGGGCTTCTGTACCAAAAGCGTCTTGATTGAGTAATAGTGTTGTGATAGGTTCAAAGAGAATTTCTGAGTCCCTGACCCTTTCCCACATTCTTGTTGTTTGCCTGCGAAGTTTTTTAAACGCTTGCCAAGAGAAATTTCTCTCCATGACCATGGCATGTGTAGGACTAGATTTCAACCACACCCTTGCATTTTTGAGTACTCAAGCAAAAATCTTTCTTGGAACAACTAAATGCATCCTGATTATGTTTCCTGTTGAGGAAATACACCATGCGTTGCTCAGTAGATCAGCTCTCATCTGACTAGACAGGCATTCCTAGAACATATTATTTCTTATTCCACACTGGATAATTAAATTACACCAGATGAGTCATACTAAAAATGCTTATTTCTCTCGATGGGCTATGCAGGAAGCAGAGGTAGCTTATTCAGCCATAGACATCTATGGTTTGAACACTTAAAAAGAACATAGGTTAACCCAACATCAGGTTCAGTTGTATTACTAGAAAAGACTCAACGATAAAAGAAAAAAAAAGTTAATTTCAGATTTTCAAATGGCCACTGTTATGAAAGAAAAGTAACAGACAAAATAATGAAATAGTAGAATTGTGTTAGCTCTTTCAGCATCACAGCTAACCTGGCAGACTTGTAACTTAGCTCCTGGCATGTTCCATGTTGGGCCTGCCCTGATAATTAGCACTGCTGCAAATTTTTGCAGTTGTTAGCAAAGCTGCTTCTGACTTCCTAGCATAATTCTGAGACCTGCCTGCTTGAGCTTGTTGGTGATGGTATATCCTAAGCATCACACATTGATAAAGGAAATGAGATTATTGCCATTTCTTTCATTGGCCTTGTTAATAAACATTATGTTATATTTCTCTGACTTTTTCTGCCTGCTCAGTTTCTCCCATCGTAACCTTCTGAACCTAGATAGAAAATATTTCATACACTGGTGGTATACAGTTTGGTGATATAATTACGCTATAGAAACAGTAATTTCAATGAGTTTCATTTAAGAACTAAACACGGGTGAGACTGGGATTGAGTGCGTAGAGTCACATACCTCTCTATTTACTCCGTTCCTACCATGATAGCAATTAGTTGTGAAACAATGAAAACAGACTATGTACAATACAGAACAAGAAAGCAGGCATTCAAAATACTTGTATTGGAGTGCTTTAAGTACACTATGAATAGCTAGCTAGGTTGAGGCAAATACTGGATGCAAAAGAGTTCAGATAGCTACGGGATTTTTTTTTTTTGCAGTGTATCATAAGCCAGGGAGAAGCCTACATCTGGCATCAGAATTCAAAACAGGAAGTTGTGAAACCAGCACAGTTGTTTCCTTTGAAAAACGACTGCTAGAAGACTTGAAGAAATTAATTCATGACTTGCAGTGTGGAATTCAGCAGTGGAATGTGCAATGCCATGCAGCCACGGATTCAATAGCAGCTCTAACACACAAGCTTACTTTCCAGTTTGTAGGTAAGATTGATATTTTTCTTTTATTTTTCTCAAATTACTTCCAAAGGACACAGAAAAAGAGCTGCTGTTGTAATAAAACATTTATATACACACCCCTGGGCACCCAGGTGAAAACACAGAGCTCATGTTTTGGGTACATGGGGAATATCCAATTTTTATAATGTAAAATCAGCCTCATGTAAGTTAAATAGAGAACGCAGTTGTACTTTCAGCAGAGTACCATGTCTTCTGAAAGCGAGATCAAAAACATTTATGTTTCTAAAGATTAGATTTCTCGAAGTGCCATAAAAATCACGTGGCTGAAGTTTTCTTGTAATTCTTAAGTTTTGCGCAAGAGATGTAGGGCAGCAGAGGAATTAAGGATCCAGGATGTCTTAAACTATACTAAAAGCATTCAGTGATCAAAGACACACAATCTTCCGCATTGCTTGGCAGAGTTAAAACCTAAGTTACATTATCTTCATGACTTCTAATCTGACAGTTAAACTGAGCTGAAATACCTCTGTAGTTTTGAGCTGTATACTTGCATTTCTTACAATCTTACGGTCTTGTGTGAGCTCTTAAAGCTATACTTCATTGATACTATAGGTCCAGCAAAATATTACAGCCATAAAATACTAAATGTTGACCTTGAGTTTACACTGCCAGTTCAAATTTGTTAAAAAAGAAGATACCCACCAGCTGACAGATTAACAACACATGCTCAGAACATGTATTTATGATAAAGCAGATGATAGCATCAGTTTTCTTGCAGCCAGCATAAAAGCTAGGCAGCCTAAATACTGTACGTTGTCTTCTGGCCAGATCTGGAGAACCTAGTCACGTGCCTGTTTCTGATCTGGATTATGTGAACACTCAGCTGCGCTCGGTAGCACACAGATCTGCAGTTAGTCATAAAGGAACCACAGCCTCACTGGCAGCAGCTCCGTTCCTACAAGGAATTATGGGCTGCAAATATTTCAACTTGCTTTCCTGTGCCAGAGGAACTTCTGCTGGTTGCTTTTTTTCTTTCTACTTCACAGAGTGTTGCTGGGAGTTACCTGAGTGCTGTGAGCACTCAGGAGCTGCTGTTATTACCCTGCGCTGCAGGAACAGTATTGCTGCGAGCTCAGAGGAAAAGCAGCTGCCACTGAGGGATGCGCTTTAGAATGCAGCCCTCGGAGGTGCAGTTTAAAGATCTCTTTTTAAGCTTTTTGCAGATTCCAGAAGGTGTCAGGACTTACAGATGGACAGCACTGTATATAAGTTACTTAGCAAACAAAACAATGTCCATTCCACATCCTTGGTTGCCTTTTGTATTTGAAAACCAAAGTTATAGTAGTAGCCTTAAAAAATCAAACTTATACTCTAGCAAAATACTTTTTTAATATTAGAATACAAATTTCCCTGCTTGTTCCCTTTTAAATGGAATTTCAGTTTTCCACTTATAAAAAAAAGACAACTCAGTATGAGCATTTAAGTTTTTCTTTTCAGCAGCAGCATCAGTCATGATCACAAAGCAAGACAGCATGTACTGTATGTGTCTATTGCATATAGCCATGTGATATGTTTCCTGATCTCACAAAGGTGGGGAACAAATAAGAATACCTATGGGACTGAACAGAACCTGCAAACTGATTGGTGATCTATTTTTCATCTGTAATTATTCTGAACATAAATTGTTTCTTAATGTAACAGCCCTTTATCCTTTTTAATATGTGTATTAACTGAAGATCTCTTTTGGTTAATTTTCAGTTTTTCCTTTTGCATTGGCATTTACAGAGCCTTGTGAAAGTTCAGACTGCGAAAATTCCTCCAACTGTGTCAAAAAGGTGCAATTATAAATAATATGAAAATATTTGTTTAGAAATTTGATCTCTCTATACATTTTTATCCTTATGTCATTGTATTAAAAGCCTGTATAGTTAAGGAATCGTGCATGCAAGAATAAATGTCATAGAGAATTGTATGTTTATTACAACAAGAAATAAAAATACTTTAGAGATCAGTAATGATGTGATGAACACCATTACAGCTGGATTTAAGAGATATTCATCAGAAGCACTAATAACTGAATAAGTATGGAGATGGAGGTGGCACTGCTTTTGTAGCACTGAATTCTCAGATTATTTTGAAGATCTGTTGCTGAATCTCTCTGTAAACTAAAAAGTAACACTTGTTACTTTTCTGCCTGTTATCTTTCTGGTCTCTTCCTTACCTATCAAACCTAAAAACAGTTATGGTTACAGTGTCATTTCCAATTCTGTCATACATTTTAACTACGCAGTTTGTTCTCACTGGAACATTACTGGTTTTATATATTAACTTCTCAAACTCGGTGCAGCCTGTTACGTATTATTTATGTTTTCCATACCCTCCACTCTGCTGGGCAAGACAGCAACATGGTGGTTTTTTGAAAAGAAATAGACTGCAACTGGACCAACAAATGCACTCAAATGTAGGATGACATCTGGGCACATTTTCTGCTTTCCACTGAATGCCTGGCTAGTGCTGCAGTTGTTACATAGATTGTTTGGTACAGCTGCCCTTCTCATAAAATAACCGAGGTGGGAAGGGAGGTCTGAAGGTCACCCCTACTCAGAGCAGGTCCATGTGGGGGAGGTTGCCCTGGGTATTGAACAGTTGAGTTCTGAATCTTCAAGGATGGAGATTCCAAAACCTCCCTGGGTCTCCCCCTTACAGTGCTGACTGCTGTAATGGTGATTTTCTTTTTTAAAACTTGTATCTAATTGGAATCTGTCACACTCCCATTTCTGCCCATGACCTCTGTCCTGTCACTCTGCAACTCCACGAGGAGTCTGTTTCCAACCTCTCCATACTCTCCCATTGGATAGTTGAAGACATCAATAATATCCCCTGTTCAACTTCTCTTAAAGCTAAACAAGCCTATTTCTGTCAGCCTCTCCTCCTATGTCACTGGAGCCTCTCGTCTCCTCCACCCCTAAATCATGTTGCTGGCCTCCACTGGACTCTCTTTGGTTTGTCACTTGTCTTTCTTGCCCTGCAGAGCCTCATACTGGACAATTCTCCAGTCTTAGAAATGATAAATATAAGAAAGATGCACTTTGTTCAGCCACGTAGCTACACACTCACTAACACAGCCCACATGCAGTTGGGCTCCTTTGCCAGAAGGGCCTGCCACTGACCTAGGGTCAGTTTGTCCACCTGGACACCCTATTGCCCCCCCGATATTTCATTGCCAAGCAGCTTTCTACCTGTGGCACTCAGCCTGTGCAGCTCCATCAGTTCCACGCATGCTGTGCAGAACTCAGCCAGGGCGAGGACACACCACAGCTCCTATGACATTATTCCTCCATCGTTTATATCTCATACCAGTTGGTACCTAGTTGCTTTCATCTGAAAAAGAAAAGCAGAGCATATTCTCAGCTCACCTAACGCACCTCAGCTGATTTCACATGAAGTTTTGAAAATATACCTGCTGATGCCATTTTGCAATCCCCAGTTGAAGACCTCCATTTCCTGTGTAAGCTTTGCCTCTAGCTAACCAGGCCAATTACTTATGCACATTCGTAAATCTGAAAGCCAGTCCAAGGGTAGTTATGAGTTTATATTGGTCTAGCTGAGCATACTAGTAAATGCAGTTGTAGCCCAGTGCACGTGAGAGAAGAGAATCATATACCAGTATAGACAGGATAAGTAAAACTGTAACAGTAGAACAGGGAAAACTAGGGGGGCAAGAATAGATCTCTTAAAACCCTTGCAGTAGAGGCTGATTTTTTCATCCACAACCTCTAAAGATCCTATATTCTTAAAAGGCTGTATTCCATGTTACAGTTTTATTTAGTTTAGCTCTCACTGTGCTGCAAGTCTGGGAAGAGCTTCCCTGCTGCTTCCCGTGCTCTTCCAAGAAAGCAGCAACACATATTTGTCAGCAAGGTGATAAAAGGTGACATCCATGGGATCAGAACTACATCTGCCCCCTAACAGTTCTATTCCTCTTTTTACTCACCTCTTTTCACTCACCTCCTGTAGAATTTCTCTTTCAATAATCACAATGCTGGCTTCTCATGGCTCTTTCTGTCCTGCTGCTGTGTCATTGTTTTAATCACTGTCATTGGTTTCTCCGCTGTTAGGCATATACCAAGATTCAGCAGTATTTGAGAGTGCAGAGATCCAACGATCAGCAGATGCATTATATTCCTGGAAGCCTTACAAGTTGGATGACAGACCACTGCAAGCCAGGATTTGGTAAAAACGTAAGCGGGGATGTGTGCATAGGATGTTGCGGTAAGTGTGAGGAATTTGTTTCCGAACAGCTATCTAATTACTGTTGTCAGGAGAAACTGCCTTCCTCCTGGTTAGCAAATGGAAAACATCAAGCTAGCATGATGTTTTAATGCTAACAGGAGGCTGTAATGAAGCAGATGATGGCAACCTTTCCATCCCAAGATACTTAAAATTCCCCCAGGGCATTTAAAAATTAGGTAACAAACAGAGTTTATCTAACACATATGAAGACCCTGGCACAGATGGCATAAGCTGCATCATGTATATAATTCATTTATACAATCTCTGCACAGATTGCTGTCCATCATACCACCAGCAGTTATTTTGACATGATTTGTTTTATGTCTACTGGGAGGTTTCAAATGT